CACTCCACCTTTAAGTGCTTCGTCGATCATGTTTGTTTCTTTCTGAATGTATTATTTGGTTGTTGCTGCATTTTGATGATTCAGACGATGAGTTACACAATAGCACCATATTCATGATGGGCATGCATAGAAGATTACTATTGCATAAAATCCATTTGCATACACCGAATATTATCATTACGTGAAATCCCTAGGAAGTTTTTGCTTTCTCACTTAAATATGGTGGCTCATTCGGGCCATCGCTTTATCGCCCTGAAAAATCTAGGCGATATTGCGACAAAGCGATAGCACGACACGATATTGCGATATGGCGACACGATATAACGATATTGCGATACAGCCCAAAAACGAAATAGCGATAACACGACACGAAATGACGATAACAAGACACGATATAGCACCATAGGATGTAAAGGAACAGAATATTTCTTCCAGGATGTGCTGTGGTATGTCCTCCCAAACCCAAAGATAACCAAGATTATCATAATGAAATGAACAGTCATGTCAGTAGTATAGCAGAGGTCACAAGACGGTACTTTTGGTTGAGGGAGGTTGAGGGAAGGTTAAGGGAAATTCATTGGCCGATCCAAGTCACGTGGTCATAGCTGATGCATAGGTAAATGTAGGCAGGACGTCACAGGTCGGGAAAGGTCAATGAAAGGCGGGTGTTTTAATGCAGACATGATTTCTTATAGAAAAACCCTTTATAAGACGTAAAAAACAAAAGCAAAGTGTAATGAATAGAGCTATGTATAACGTGCTGCCCTGAATAGACAGACAACACTTGTCATCCCAGTTTGAATTCAGCGCGTTTGACAACTCACGTGACCCTATATTCAAATAGCCCACGCTCGACACAGTGTGCGTCCTGTTTTAATGAATACAGGGTGTGTGTTGAAAGTAAATCATACCACAATAGAGACGAGTTGTATCAACATGGCTCGGAGTAGGAATCTTCAAGTCATGAAAATGTAGTTCAATAAATTTCATACAGAACGTGTCCTGTACAAGTATAACACCATGAAAGTAGTGGACAGTTGTTATGTTTAATGCTATCCAGATAGTTCATACCAGCTTTTTCCGTTCAAATGTAATGTGATGAAAAGTTTGATTTTGACCCATGTAATCGAACATGATGTATACGGTTTTAGTTTTACTTCAGGACTACATTCAGAGCGTGATATTTTAAAAATGAAAGGTTCGAAATACACATGGATAGAAACATATCATTTAGAAAACTGATTAGTCATGTAGCAGTGTAACAGTATGAAGCTAGGTTTGTTGTGAAAGAGACAGAAGCAATCGATCAGACACATAGAGGCGAGCAAAGTGTTTCATGTTTACAATAATCACCCTTAATTCGACGAGAGAACACATTTTAACATGGACATTTTAAACACGAGGAAAATGTTTCATTGGAAAAAAATATGTGGAAGCAGGTTTATGCATAGCTAGTGAGTAGCAGATAGACTAAGCGACTGACCGTCCATAACAATGTCAACATACCGGCCCAATAATGTCAATGTACCGGCCTCGCCTACGAGTGAAGCTTCTCATTCATAAATTGTGTGACCAGTGTACCGTATTTATTATATGTTAGGGAAGATGTGTTGTACATTTCTTATTTTTAAAGGGAGTTATTTCAGAGAGCTCAAGGGTATTCCCCTCATTAAACCTTTGTTTTGGTGTTGTTGTTGTGTGTCTGTATTAAATGTAACCGGTATTTAATACATTTGAATGAATTGCGGTAATGTAGGAATGTATGTGTGTGTAGATTTTATACATATATCTGAGCATGAATGTATGACACCTGTCAATAGATCAATTACGGTTCTAACCACTACATGAAACATTACTATGAGTGTGGTTAGCAGTTCATATTTATAAACACATCATAAGTAACAGATTTCGGATGAATGAACTCGCCCGCACACGTGTCTAAGGTCAACATAACTCTGGGTATTACAGGAGGGTGTAGCGTTTGTGCGGAATGCACTCATCCTTGTAAAGGTAAATCCATGTAAAATACGTGTTTAAACTCACAATTTAAATGATTACATTACTTTTTAGATGTATTGGTATGAATGGGAGGCTCGTAGATCTGTGAAGTTTGTGTCGATGTCTGTCTAGGGACTACACATATTATCATCGAGGTATATGAAGATCATATTCTATGCAAAAACTGACAAAACAAACAATCCATTCATATCATTTATTGATTCAAGTCAATCGGTTCAATGCAAAGCTGTGATGTACGAATGGACAATAGGATTCACTCTGGAACATTAAAGTCAACAGTTCAGTCACTTTATACACATGCTGCTGCTTCAGAGTGCGATTGTTTAAACAGCAAGTCCATGTTTTGAAACACATTTCGCACTGTTGAATGATCAGTTCACCTTTCCTATGCTGTTTTAAGGTTGAATGGTTGTCTATAGTCTATGATTTATCAATTGCCTTTAAAGATTTCCGTCCAGGGGGTCCCAGTTTCACAACTCCTCTCATGTAGAGGGAAATTCGTCGTTTCTTATCGTTCAAACACCTCAGTTTATGAGGTGTTTTTAAAATATGAATCAAACTAGACGTGCAGCGTTCACTCGACATTCTCTTCTGACTGTTAGAGTGATATATTAATGACCGGTATTTATTTCCTCAAACATTCTCCTCCATGTCATCCTCCCTCCCTCCCTCCTCATCCTCTCAACCGAACGTGCCCCCCCCCCCCCCCGAGATATATTTAGGAAGACCAAGTTGAGAAAATCACAACAGAGAAAGAAACCACAACCATGATGCTGAAGACAAAGAAGAGACAGGTAACACCTAAAATGAAAACGGTGACAACCCAGAAGGGACAGAAGACAACACCCCAACCCATGAAAATATGATATATGACAAAAGCTGCTTTGAAAGGAGCGTAAGCTGACTTGAACCGTCAACAGTATAAAAGATAGCTTGAACCCTGGTAATCTGGACACTTGTATAGGATCACGATGGGAGTGACTACCTGTCTGGACTGTGGGAAGAGGTTCACATGAAAAGATAATCTACAGAGACATTGGAAGAAGATGCATAGATCCACTACAAAGGTACCTTCTCCTCCTCTGGATAAAAACGTCCCTCCTGTAGGTAATGACCCTCCTCAAGAGAGACACCCTCCTTCTCAAGAGAGACACCTACCTCCTCCTCAAGAGAAACATTCTCCTCCTCCTCAAGAAAGACCCATTGGCTGTGGAAAGTCTATGTTTACCTCTCACGTGCGCCGACATGGCCTGATCCAACCCCAACCTACCTGCATTGTTTGGTGTTATACTCAATGGCAGCCATTATATCAGGACATCAGCGAGCAGCTGCCTCAGCTGACCTTTGTAAAAGGAATTCCCTACGATATCTTGGACGAGGATTACTTAGATGCCGGCCAACGGAATGTGTTGGTCCTGGATGAATTCCTGGCCGAAGCAAAGCACGAGTGTATTTCCCGGCTGTTTACTCAAACCTCCCATCACAAGAATGTATTGATCTTTCTCTTGGTACAAAATCTGTCTCCGACAGGTAAAGAATCGAGAGACATTGCTTTGAATGCACATTATGTCAGCCTGTTTCATTCCCCCATAGGGAAACAGCAAATCAAACTCTTCGCTCGTAGAATTTTCCCCGAACATATGGATCATTTTATGACCATGTATGAAAAGGTTGCTGAAACACCCTATGGACAACTCACCATTGATCTAAAACCTACCACCAAAGATAAGGATCGACTGCAGGTCAATCTCATAAACGAGGAAAATGGCGAGTCAAAGCTCAGTCTGAACCTGATCTGCCTAGGGAGAAGTTGACTACAACAGAATCTCTGGATAGTCCTCTGACTCAAGAAGAGAGATCTGCCCCAACATCAGCTCACTCAAATTGAAACCGATTCGGACACGAGTAGTGAGACATCATTGACTATGGCCACGGCTTGCGCAGATTGTTTGGTGCTGATAGATAACATGCACGATCTACACTGACATATCAAACATTGGCGTCCGGCCAATAGCCTTCAACCTAAGAGAAAGCATGCCAGACTTGAGAGTGATGACAATGACAGTGATTATGACGACCTAGCCTCTTCCCAGAAAGGCAGTAATCCTGCCGTCAAACCTCCTTGTGGGAAGCCAACATTCACTGATATGGAAGCCGAGGAGTGGCAAAATGTAGGCTTACAGTAGTTTTATTGTCTGTACTAGTCAGAAACCTTTTGTCACCCTGATGACGTGAGAAGCAAAGAAAGACCTGTACATACACTGTATCTATATATAGATCATTACGCCAGGGAATGGGTATTTCCAGAGTTGAGGCGTTAGTTTAAGTGGGTTTTGATTACAATCTTTCAAAGGGGTCTTTGTGAGTTACGCATTGTATTCATCACAGTATCGGTGACTCCATGCACCGTAATCGTGTTTATAGGCATGCAACAGGTCACCTTCATAGTGTTGTCGAAGTTATACTACTTTTCTATGCAGTTAATGTAAAATAGAACTCTAACGCCATCTTTCAACATGCGTATATCTTATATAAATGACAACGTTCGGCTGTAACATTTCATCACAGTTAGACTGGCGTTTGTTCGTTTAGTTACCTGGCTGCTGTCGATTTTAATCGTCCATCTTCCAATCATCTAACAGTCAGAACAACATAGTTTAACTAGATAAATTTACGCATAACCTAAATTGTATTTGGATTTTTTTCGCATCATACCAATAATTAACCCAAACAATGTTGTTACTAACTCCAAATTCAAAAACACAACATTTTTACAAAAAGTAAACATGGATACATGTAATGTGATACTGAAAACATTCTTAGCGAAAGAAATCCAATTGTGACGTGACATGAATCAGGTGACAGCAGACGCTGTCCAACTCACAGTAGCATCCAGCCATGTTCAAGGTGTCAACAAACAAGGCAAGATGTGACAGATCCAACTACAACGAGGAATAAAGTAGAAAAAAAACACAAGTTTGAAACAATAACTCAGCTTAACTTTATTAATATTCAAGAAAAATAAAATAAGAGCACAATATAGATCAATCGGAGATAACTTGGTGGTATATGGTGTATAACGGGTACATACATTAGCTAACATCTAACAATGTGTTATGTCTTTAACCCATTAAAATGTAGGCCATACTACAGTTCTCTAATTATGGGGTCGGGAGGAAATTACATTGTAAGTTATCGTTTTGTTGTTCCTTCACGTGATAAGTCCTTCTCTGAGTTGCCACTGGGTCGTTTGAATCACACAGAAAATGAACGCAATCCTTAAATGTGGTACACATTATTCCTTTGAAACAGACCCACTCTTAAACGTCATTATTATTTGATTGTCAAGATAATCTCGACATATTATCACTTTGTGCAAATGGATGGTAAATGTATCCAAACCCAAGATCGCTATCTCACGGATATCTCAAAAATGGATATAGTTTTGTGCCACTGAGATGGCAAATTACCTAAGTTTGCATTGTTGTTTTTTAAAATATAACCCATTATGTATGCTAATACACTGGCAACTTTTAACGTTCAAGGACGCTGCTCATGTGATGAACTGCTGACAACACCATCGCAATTGTTGTTAATTTAACCTCTGCCATTTGGTTGCAGCCATTCGTTAACTCTGCAAAAATAAACGAACCCAGAAAAAATATACTGAAAAAATAAGGGATCAGATAAAATTCAGATCACGTCAAACATAACAGAGTCACTGTTTTCAGTTTATAAGAAGAAAGACAGTATTGGGTACATAATTTCCACACACACACACACACACACACACACACACACACACACACACACACACACACACACACACAGAGAGAGACACACACACAGACACACACACACACACACACACACACACACACACACCACACACACCACACCACACACACACCACACCACACCACACACACACCACACCACACCACACACACCCCACTCCCACTCCGTGTTCTCACAACTGTCTTGCAACGTCTGGGCATACATCCAATCAAATTAAATCTAGGTATCATTCAGAGACAGATACGATCCTATATTATGTCCCTTCAGTATATTTTCGTGCCATGTAAGTAGGTTATTTAAACTTGATGTTTATATTTAAGAAGAACTGTAATAGGATTTGTGAGATCCCGCCAACTGTCTTTATCGCACATGCTTCATTACGTTCGATTTTAAAATCATCAAATGAAATATATTTAAACGACATGCTAGAAACTGTCTGCTGACCTGGTGTATCTGGCTGGTAAGTAGCATAGGAGACCGGCAGATCGATACACTGGGGGCCCGTCCATCCGATCTCGCACCTTCTGCAGGTGCCCGAAGTCTGGTCACAGTCAAGACATCTGTACGGACACGCCATCTCGCATTTCTTGCCGTGGAATCCAGTCATACAACCATTTTCACACTTTCCTGCCATGTTACATGTAGTGTTCACGCAGTTCGCCGAACACTCAGACTGGCAGTCGGTGCCGTAAAGCCCTGCTTTGCACATGAGGCACGATACTGAGGAGTACCGATGGCATTTCATGCAGTCAGCGCCACACCTCTCGCTGCAGACTTCACCTGTCCAACCATCCTTGCAGCCATCAATGCACCGGCCAGACTTGTGTTTATTCAGACAGTTATGTTTATCACATTTACGTCCATGCCACCCTTCCATACAATCAGATATGCAGACGCCGTCCTCCTGGTAACAAGCCTTCTTCTTACATCCTTGACCGCACGTTTCGTTACACGTGGACCCCCACCATCCTTCAGCACATCCTTCCAGACACTTGCCGCTGGTCCGGTGACAGTTCCTCACGTTGTCGTAGCTTAGACGGCAGGTAGAGGGGCAGAGTGTGTCACAACCCTCGGTGTATCGTCCAGGAAGACACTGATGACACCGCCCTGTCAGTTTATGGCAGCCCCCCAACCAGCAGCTGACACAGGCGTGTTCACACTGGTACCCCCAGTACCCATACAAACACTCCTCGCATGTGCCACTTTTACACAAAGTACATCTTGATTCATTGCAGACCTTCGCACTGGTTCCGCCTGGAAGTATCAGATGAAAGAACATCTTCAACTAAATGTGTAAACATTCAAACAGTACAGACTCACTCCAATTGCTAAACAACTCTAACCTTTGAGAATCGACTTAAGGACCTACGACTGAACATTCCGAAAGGGTATTGGGTTAAAGAAACGAAAGGAGACGAATGAGTATGTTTACCGGACATCCAGCACAAGCAGCCGACAAATTATTTGTTTTGTAAAACTCGAGGACACAGATTTTTTCCCAGTATGTAACCAATGTCCCCAAAGTAGTTGTTGGATCAACTCCCCCGTCAAAGCTATGATACACTTACAGCAGACAAGCTGAATCAGCAACACAGTGGAGAGTGTACACTGAAATAATAAACATGTCATGAAGTAGATGCCATGAAAGGAATCAGTGTTTCCGTTGATTCAGGTGATGCATAATACTATGACAAGAGAAATAAGGCTCAGTGTATATTCCAAACAATATCACGTCTGTGGTCAAGGCAAATACACATGCCAATGAAACAGGTTACCTTGACATTCCCAAACAATAACACCTAACAAAACACCCTACAGACACTCCACCAGTCAGGGAGAAACACTAACCTACAGCTCATGGGGGAAAATTACACTGGGTCACACCGTCAACATACCGCGTCCCTAACAACTGTCGTGTTGACAGACGACACAACTCGAAGTGTTAACTATTAAGCGCAGTACGGGTAGCAGTTGTTGGCCGCTGTGATATCTCTACAGACATGTACCTTACACATCTGGTAATGTGCAGGTATTCCGGTTTTCACAGATCTTGTTTGAGTTGGTTCTGCATAAAACAAAGGACATGACGTTATCATAGAATCTGTAATTAAATAAACAGGTCTCCAGAGATACATGCTCCATCACTTATATGCTTACTCTAATGCAAATCATATATCATATGCTTGAAACAAGAACAAATTGTGTGAAGTTTTACTGTCCACGATAAACAGATCCATTTTCTCAACTCACAGATACCCAGCGTGCCACAAGCTGCTGGCGAAGTCTTCCTCCGATGACTATATTTCCGGGGTTGAGAGTAGTAGCTCAACTAAGAGAACGTGGGTATGCTTTCACGCCAAATTCAGCAACATTCTAGGTATATCACGGCGAGGTACCCCAGAAATGAGCTTTACACATTGCGACCATGTAGGAATCAAACCTGGCTCTTAAGAGACCAGGATTATTCCATCGCCCACAGAAACAAGACAACATCATCATTAAGCATGATTGTACTTTGAAACAAGAACGCATCATCATTAAGCACGATTGCACTTTTAAACAAGAAAACATCATCATTAAGCACGATTGCACTTTTAAATAAGAAAAGATCACCATTAAGCACGATTGTACTTTTAAACAAGAAAACGTCATCATTAAGCACGATTGCACTTTTAAATAAGAAAAGATCACCATTAAGCACGATTGCACTTTTAAACAAGAAAACATCATCATTAAGCATGATTGCACTTTGAGACAAGAAAATATCATCATTAAACATTGTACTCCTAAACAATAACAACATCAACAACAGTAAACATTGTGCAAATACGTACAAACACAACAAATATTACTAGTTAACACAAATGCACGTCATATTAGATCTACGCATATTACCTTCAATATTCTTTATATAGTCTCAGTAGTCAGTCAGTAGTGTCACCCCCGGATTATGCAACCAGCCCCGACGCGCAGTGACATATATCGGCAGTCGTTGTATAACAGGCTGACATCAGAGAAGCTCCGCCAATACATGATTTTAGTGCATTAAGCCTACTGAGCGTTACAAGGCTCTACATGCGTATAATGTGAATGTTCGTGTTCTGTGTTGCTGAATGCAGGATGGTATTTACTGTAACAGTGAGTGTAGAAATCTGGAACCAGTACCTTCATTGCATATTGTCAACACAACATATTCACACGCGATAGCAAGGGTAATACGTGTCATGAAATCATTCCCATGCAGAAAGAGATAAACACAAACCAAATTATTGAAATTTTCGTGATAATGAAGAGTTATGTTCAAGCAAACAAGTTTATGGACATATGCTGTGTGCATTGCTCCACGTCTAACATTCAGGTAAACTACAAGTTATGTGCCCTTGGCATGTAGCGGGACGTAATCGACAACTCGTCAGTGTATATATGATAATGTTCACAATAAGGGGCCGTTCATAATTTATGGCTAGGGGGGGTGATGATGATTTTCATGGGGAATCATGTACAATGTGAATGACACCCCCCTAAAATTTATGTACAAAGTAAGTGACCCCGCCCTGCATGTCATGTACAAAATCAATGACCCCCCTCCCCTTCCCATAATATTTAAGCATATTTTTTTTAACATTTCTGTGTACATAATTGCTGACCCCCCTAGTATATGTGTACAAAATTGATGACCCCCCTGCCTCCTCAGAACAAAATGGGTGACCCCCCTTAAAATCTTCAACGACTCATGCTGAAAGGTTTACTCAATGAAGGTTACAATAGTCAAGGCCTCAGAAAAGCTTTCAAACGTCTTATGGAAGACATGTGCGGGACATTTGCCAGTTTGATGCTTCAGCAACAAAAAATGTTTAAAACAGTTTCGTTTTTTTACCCGTACCATATGTTTTCGTCTTTTCGACATTTGCATATGTTAGAGACGGTTTCACGAGAAGCAATATATATGCTCACCCTTTGTAGCATGACAGCTTAAAAGTGATTCATAATGTATTTGACCAAGTATTTAGATGTCATGGGATGGGATTTGTTTTTACCACTTATTGAGGAAATGGTCATTTTATTATCAGAATCTGTTTTTGTGCTCTCATGATACAAAGACGTAAGTTTGTAATCTAAACACAATTATTTCAAACGTTTTATGGAAGAATGTGGCGGCTATTTGCCAATTTCATGCCTCAGTAACCAAAATATTTCTTAATGCAATTGACTATTTTGACCATATTTTTGTATTTTCCAGTGAACGTCTTGCCTTTGCTCGTGTTAGTAGATCTGAAGATTAAGTGGCTCTCAATATAGAGGTGTAAGTATATGAACATCGTTATACAAGGACAAGACCATAACCAAGTATACAGTCTCAGTATTGAGACGTATAAAACCACGTCCGGTGTAATAACATCATTTATTCATATCCAATGATTATTTACAAAGACAGTTCTACAGCAATTCCAACCGTCAATAAATGCTATAAACTGGAGCAAAACACCCAAGAAAACATTCAGCTGTAGCCACGCAACAATTCGAAGTAAAAGCGATGAATGCAAGAAAGATGTACTATTTGGAACAAGGTACCTTTATGAGCTGCTCCAATTTTCGATTTGAATGACCAAGTTGACTGTATTACGCATTTGTATCACGTTATGTATGTGTGTGCAATAAGAATGGACGAGTTGCCTCCCGTTCTTGCACCATGCGAGCGAACTCTAGTGGGTGAGTGAGTGAGTGAGTGAGTGAGTAGGTGAGTGGGTGGGTGAGTGAGTGAGTGAGTGAGTAGGTGAGTGGGTGGGTGAGTGAGTGAGTGAGTGAGTGAGCTTTACACCGTATTCAGCAATTGTCCAGCTTTGTGGCGTCGGTCTGCAAAATAATTGAGTCTGGACCAGACAGACATCCCAGTGATCAACAGCATGAGCATCGATCTACGCAATTGGGATACAAGGACATGTGTCAACCAAGTCAGCGAGTCTGACTACCTGATCCCATTAGTCGCCTCTTACGACAAGCATGGGCTACTGAAGATCCATTCTAACCCGGATCTTCACGGGTCCTATATGAACATACAAGAATCACTATGTGTCAGGACCGCACACAGTGACAGAAGTGGCGGCGTTGGTGCCCCCCCCCCCCGGGCCACGTAGCCTAAGCAAAAACTGAGGGTAAGACCATCTTCGTTTTTTAATTCACAGAATGTTAATGTCAGGATTAGCTTCCTATAAGTCATGGCAATTTCGGAATTATAGACGTGTATATGTCATGGCTATTGTGATTTTTTCTATTTAAATACTTAGCTTTGGGAATTAAATGTTCGTTCAGACAAGGTTTGTTCTAATCATGTCGCCATGACAGTCTCTTATACCCTACTGTCAGTATGTATCCTCCAGAAGGTACACATATATGCACCAGGCTAGGCTTTCCAATACAACTTTCTCAACTTTGAAGACGTTTCAAGGTTTGGGAAATATCTTTCATACAAAGTAGAATTACACATGCAAATTTTAATTATACAAAACAATTTGAATTTATCTGACCATAATAAAATTATTAATATAATCGAGTTATTCCTATAAACGATTGAATGCTTGACGTTTAAGGCCAGCTATGTATGTCGCTAAAAGTCAGTGTAATCAAGACATGGATCACTGGCTACAGGAGACAGGTATCCACGCGGGGTTGTTGAATTACATGCAGCTCTACTTTCATACGCCACATTATCCACCAGGCAACAAGCTTCTTCCATAAGAGTTCGGTCTTCTCCTTGATTCCCACGTCGCGCCTGAAATCCAGTAGGATCCGTCAATGAGCTCTCCGACTCGTTCCACTTCCAGTCAAATATTGGCAAGGAGTTAGCCCTCTGTAGGGATGTTTTGAACATATGCAAATGTCCAGTCTTGTGCTCTCTTGGCCGTGCGGTGTGACACATAGCAACTGGGGAAGGTGGAGGTTGACCGCGTATTCTGCACGTGTTGTTGCTGCTGCTTGCAACGACCCCATCGCTTGCATCCATGTCATCTTCGTTGATGTTGTCATAAGCATTTGCAGACATCGGTACGTCTGGCAGTTGTCTACCTTGGAGACTTAGCAAGCGCCTGTTGGTCCTGATGGACGATGACGTACATGATCTGGAATTATACAGAAACATCACATGAGTTCTGACCAGGAAGAAACAAATAGTATCATAAAAAAACAGGATATTTGATGTTTCATAATGTACAGATATCGGCACAAAAACAGTCCAATTTGAGGTACCTTCTAATGAGGAAAGCTACTGTTCCAGAAACCAGCAGCAACACCACAGATCCTATGACGTAGTTCACAGACGGTGTCATCTGGACGTCCCCGTCCTCTGTATCCAGCGTCGGTTCTAAAAACAGAAAGATGATTCCTTATACGTATTGTTTAATTCGTCAGGCAACATTATTCCAAGTAGAACATAGCGTCCTGTAAATAATCGAATCTGGTCCAGGCAAACCAGTGACTGATCTTATAAGCTAGGATCAGTACCACCTGGGTAAGACGCTTTACCAGCCAAGTCACACTGCCTGGGTGAGTGAGTGAGTTCATATTTAACATCACATCGGCAATATCTCAGCCATATCGTGACTAAGACAATTTATACAATAAATAATGAAAATATTTTTAAGAGTAAAACCTGTCTATAATGGACAGTAAAAG